GATGATGATGAGTATGTTTGATCCAAAAAGATGCAGGTTGATTTAAAACTGAATGTGTGACCAATTGACATCTAAGATCTTCTGGTCCCACAGATGCCATACTTAATTAAAGAAAATTCTGCAAAAAATAAAGACCGTTAACAGTGTTGCTGACATAAGTAAGATGAAGAGAAACCCATCACTCACTACTGAACTATGGAGCTCTTGTAGAATAAAGCATGGCAGACATTTTAATCACCACATAGATCAGCTCTTTAGAATTGGCAATAAAATGAATGTCAGACTATAATACCATGAGGGACTTAGGAAGACAAAATAGAACTAATTCCCACAATTATTTCAGCAGAATTAAAACTATTAAATGCCGATCCCAAAATATGAAATATGAGGACAGGGAAAGAAGAAACATTGGGGTATAATATCACCTTTCTGATCAGAAACATGTAAGTAACATAAATACATTTTTTTTAAATCCCATTCAGAAAGATGACACAGGTCTGCAAATGAGTGAGTCAGAAACTGGTATGAAATCACTGACAGCTTTGCAACCAGACTTGAATGAGGACAGGGTTTTATCTCGGCATTTCTGGTGCCCTCAGTTTTCCGGCAAGCTTTCTTAATTGCAGTAGATATTCTCACTATATAGCTTGCATCTTCAGCTTTTATGCACTCAGCACCCTGCATTCAAATCAATAAAGCCATCAACGAACCACCTAAGTACAGTAAAACCAAACTGGATCAATGGGATATACTTAACTGCCTGTATATATGTTTCTAAATTCTAACAAAAAGGTTCAAATTTTACATATTTCATTCTCTGAAGGGTCTGAGTGGTTTTTTTTAGCTTTCCAATCATCACAATCAGACACACACACTATTTATTTAAGGATATATTTTTCCCATGACCTTACAGACTCACTTCTCTGACATTGGGAGTTTGTGGAAGTCCGTTAGAAGTTAAACATGAGGAAGTGCAATAATGCCCATTTACCTTGTAGGGAGTAAAACCAAGCCCAACACCAAAGAATTATTATAATTAAAAAAAAAAAAGGAAAAAAAGGAATTTGAGCCTCTCTGCAGCCTCATAAAAAACTTGCAGATAGCCTGTGATTCGGCATGGGCAGATGTCCTCTCTCCTGTGCATTGTCTCACCAGAGCCCTTTTGGACTTCAGTGAAATAATAATAAAAGAGCAAACGAAGTGCAATTTCCATGGAAACTTGGAAACAGATATAACATTATTTGCAATAAGCCTTTGTACTGTGAATGGAAAATTTTTTAGTTTACACAAATCTCAGATATTATTTTCTTTGCAGTGCAAACTTGAGCCAAATATTTTCTGTCATATTAAAGAAGCAAATAGTCATTTTTACTTTCTGTCCAGTACAACCATGCATTAAAGCTTCAGAAGCTGCAGTAAAATGCCTGATATTTACCTTTCCATGAACCCCAGAACAGATGTTAGAAAAAAAGAATAATCTGGGTTTCCTTTTTGCTTGTTCTCTTCAGAAAGTAAAAACAGCTTATAAAACATCTCCTGTTTACGTGTAATGTTACAGACTAGTAGACAGCCAGAATGTTGGCAGATGTGCCCAATGTTAATGGGAGCTTAACTAACTCTTAATATTAGATCAATTAGATATTAACTCCCGGTTTTCCATATACCATGAGAGAGTGCTTTGAAGCTGAGAAGCATGTATTCACAGGGTAATTACTCACAGACAGCTTTCTTAGCTATAAGTAAATTCCCAAAGTACACTTACCAACACCATGGCAACGACTTGTCACCTGATAACTCGTTTGAGATTACAGCATCTCCATCTCACTATGTTCTCAAGATCAGAGTAACAACCAAGAAAGTATGTTGCAGTGCCACATCAAGAACAGCACCCAAAGCAGCTCTTATGTGAACATTTTTTCCTCTTCACATTGTTACTGAAGCATTATTTTCTACATATTCCAAAGATAAGGGAAGAGAAAGCATCCCCGTGTTTTATGATAATGCAGGCCTCACTTTTTACTTGTTTAGCTGAACCTTGTCTTTGCCACAACATCTCAAGTCCAAATCAGTTACTCAGACTTGTTCTTCTCATGATGGAGGGAGTTCCACCCTGCTGGGCAGCTACTCACATCCTTTTCAGTGGGAGAGTCATGTGGACCTCCATTCTCTACGGCTGAAATGTGGGTACAGTTTGGGACCGTACTTATGCAGAAGATTTGAGTTGTCTTTAACTGAGGTAACAAACACAGTAACAACATCAAACACCCACTGAAGAATCACTGCAAAGCAGTTGTTTGATAAGAGTCTGAAGAGAGCCTGAACTAGTCCTGCCCTAGGAATCCTGGCTAGACTTGTAAGAGCCATTGTTTAAGGCAAGGGACTGCTTAATAAGGATTTGGTCTTTAACACAGATTTCATCATAGGCTGACAGACTGAAGCTTCCTCTTCACAAGTTCACATGATATTCAAAATGTCATGTTGATTTTATACCTGCCTGGACAAAGGAGATTACAGAGCAAGTCAATCACCTTGCTTTTCAGATGTATTTCCTCTTTTACATCTTGAAAATTCTACTCACTTGTAGATCATGCAAAGAAAGAGGAAGCAGCATGACTCAGCTCCACACTACAATGGCTGGAGCAGATCCAGACCTAGCAATCCTTTGGGCTTTCCTTACCAAAATACAAGACTGCAACTTGGATATTGTAAAGCATCTAATGTTTGTATAAGAAATGTTAGATGGGCAGCACGCCAGCTGCAGTCCTTAAGCAATGTGCTTGTTCTTTGCATGGATGGAAAATTATCTTCTGAAGAGTTAGGAGGGGAACAAAAAAAGCCAAAGGGCTCTGATCTTAAACAGTGCCTACGGAAGACAAAATGTTAAAGAGGAACAGCCTCCTGAACTGTATTCAGTAGACATGAATCACATGGAAATCTAGTGGTAGATAACATATTAATTTAGCAAGTTTCACATCATGCCATACTGGCAAATATTTTTGTATAATCTGTAAATTGCAGAAGTCATAACAGGGGCATAGGAAAGCTACTGACCTTAAGGAATCCAGGAACTTTAAGTAAGTTTCAAGAACCCTGAGTCCCAGTGCTTTATCTAAACCATTGGAAAACAGTACTCTAAAAATTAGCTACTCTAAAAATTCAGTGTCATCTAGAAATTATTCCTGATCCTCTACCATTTTGCTAACACCTCATCCACAGCTTTTTTTCAGAAAGAGCATCCACATGGTGCATTATTGCAGGGTAAATAATGTGCTGTAAATACACTTTACTGTGTAAATAAGCTCTGAGCAAAATTCAGCAAAGTTCAGTTCACTCTCTGAATGCACAACAAAGATGATTTGATGGTTATCTCATAGCAATCTAACCTCAGAGATAAAGACCTGAAATCTAAACCTGTTTCTCAGAACAATGTTTTACATTGTAGTCCATGCCCAGAAGCTCTGGGCAATGAGATGGATCTGTCTTTTCAGGCACTGCATTCACTCGGGGAAATCACGAATCAGTCATTTCTTACATAAATATGTGTAATACTAGTCGTGAAAGTAATAAGGAGGCATGATCCAAGCTGTTTCTCTGAAACGGTCCTCACCTTCCTACAGAGTGAACCAAAGCATTACTTGGAAGAAGCAGTCCTCTGGACTGTGTGCACTGGGGGACGACTGAGCAGTATTGGGAAACCTGCATCACATACTAAGCAACCTCACAGTGCATTAGAGGATGGAAGGCCAGCAGGCTTCTGGGCTCCGTGTTAATTTCAAAAGATGGTTCATTGAGCAGACCTCATGCTTAGCAAAGCTTAGTAGCTTTTTTCCTTATCCCTCCCCACAATGTTTTGGGCATCATCATATGATTGCACTCTAAAACTTGAAGTTATCCAAAACCAGTTCATGAGAAGTGAACAAAAACATTTATTTTAATTCCAAAGAAAAAACAACTCCCATGCTGTTTTCCTAAGTGAGCTGAAAACTTGGAGAGAAACCTAAAGCTAAAAAAAGCAAGGAACTCAAGAAGATTCATATTCTGGACTGTGGTTTCTGTTGCCTTAGCTCAAGGGAAAATATGTTCATGGGAAAAAGGCCTGCCTGGAGCAAGATTTTTTTCAACTCTGACTTTTCTAGTTGGCATGGTTTTAAAATCAATATGTTGCTATTAAAGTTATTTCTTCATAAACAAAAATATTCTATATGGATTGTATGATAGTTGTTTACAATTGAAACAACCACTTGTACCCTGTTTCCCAGCAATCAGTATCTAGCCCAGCTACTATCAATCCTAGATAGTGATCAAGCAATTTAAGAGGCCTTTACAATGTTAGCACAGAGTTTCACTGATTCAAAGTGTTAAATCACCCTCCCAGAGGAGAGTTCCTGGATTAATCCCAAAACAAAGAAGTGTCAGCTTTATGACCTACCTTTGTATCTACACATAACTAAAGAAAACAACATCACACCTCAGAAAACAGAAATCTTGTATGGCTTGATTTGAAAGAATCTTACTATTCTTTCAAATAGTAAGATTTGAAAGAATAGTAAGATTCACTTACTTTGTCTTTAGCCTGGACTAAACCAGATTATAAATATAATAAAATTCCACACTAAACCTCTAAAGACTAGCCTACAGACAAAGGTGCCACAAGCAATTCAGGGAATTTGTAACAGTATAACGCTGCAACAAGTGTAACAAAATGTGATCAGGCTGCCCATACTCTGTGAGAAACCCCAACAAGCACGGTTATCATCATTCTAAATGCTGTAGCAACAGAGTTTAACCTAGGGATTACAATCCCCGTTATACACTTGAATTGTCTTCTGCATTAATTAGATTTATGTTAAGAGTTAACAAAAATATCTAATATGGTCTTGTTTTGAGATTCTTCAAGACATCTTAGAATGACACAGTATGCTTTCACTGACCTTTAAATTGAATTTCACCCCCTACTTAAAAACTGCAATTAAATTATGCTATAAATGAAAACTATTTACCTGTGATCAACAACTGTTACATCAGAAGCAGGAATCCCCAGAAGAAAACAACTCTGTTCCAGTTCTTTCTTACGAATCTCTCCTTGATTGTAATAATTTCCTGAAAACAGCAAACACAGCAACATTGTCTAACTTAGTTGAGGCTAGCTTGGAATTAATTCCTCTTTTCTTTCTCAAAGCATTAAGCTTCAGCATCACACAGTAAATAAAAGTGCATAATTCGAGGAAGAGACACATCACGGGGGACAAACTCCAGAGCTTTTACCTGAGCAACGCCCGGCTTTGTTCAGAGTAAAATGCTGAGGCAAAGTTCTGCCCACCTTGACTACATTCCTCCCATTTATGCACCGAGTCTGGCTTGCAGCATTTGTGAGTTTATTTGGCAAGGACATCAGAAATTGCCATGCCTAGTCAGAGCAGTAGTCCAAAGAACCCAGTATCCTCATCCTAGAGTTGCCAACGATAAATGCTTCTGCCAAAGACACAGCAGAACTTCCAGACAAGAAGTCTGGATTAAACTGTTTCTAACCACTTGTTTGATTAGCAGATGTCTTACTCCTTTAAAAAAAAAATAATAATCAAAATTTCTAGCTCTTTCAGGTTTTTTGTTTAGGCTTTTTGTTTTATTTTGGTATATACCTGATCTACTCTGAACACTTAATTTTTTAGCAAGATTTAATATCTCTTTTAGTGTATTCCATAGGCTGAGCATGCTTTGTGAGGAAAAGGAGTCTTCTAAGATGCATATAAATGGACTAAGTGCTTACCCATTACCTGAATGGAAATTACCAACATGCTACAGAACAATTGTGCAAGATCTTTTCATAAACAGAGGAGAAACTGCCTCTGCAGTGAGGTGACAGAGTTGTTACCACTAGCAAATCTCCAGGTTGTCACTGTGAAAGAGGTTCGTGGGATCTTAGTCCACTTTTTTAAAATCAAGGATTCACAACAAATCAGTGTAACAATTAATCTCCTTAAAGGGTCAAAGAGTCACTCCTCCTTCACTATCGGACGTGCTGCCATGAACTCCCTCCTGTACTCTCCACAGCGTAGGCCTGCAGAGCCAACCTAAACAGCAAGTCCAAAGTACTTGGAACAGAATTGTTGAGACAACACACAGAAAGCGAGTCCCATGGGGTATTCTTTAAGTGATTAAAGTTTATAGCATATTCTGGACCAATTCTAAGGAGCAGTAGTTATCACATAACAGTAGGACACTGCAACAGAATACAGTGATGGAACCAAAAGGATTTGGAGAAATGAAGAATTCCATCATAACAATCTCTGTTTCAGGACAAAGATTTTCAGAAGTCTGCACCATTCACAGGAAATCCAGGCAGAAACTAATACGGCAAGATTGGAAAGAACTTATACAACCAAAAGAAGACAGCAAACCTAATTCAGATAAGGCATTTGGGAAAAGTTGTAACAGACTGAGACCTACAACTAGCAGGGAAATGGCATCCATTATCTTAAAACACTGCCTCCTTCTTCACTGAATTATTTTCTTCTCATCTTGCTCTGACATTCCTTATTTTTTCTTGGCATCAGCCATGCAAAGTCCATGCCAGAGCTGTGATGGCCCCTTCCAGAATGTTGCCCTGTGTGGCACAGCACTTGCAACCCAATTTTAATTTTGAAGCAATAAAATTAAAAAAAAATACAGCTGAGTATTAATGTATGATTCAAGTCTATAGTCAGCTGTCTTAAATTACACTAAAACTTTTTATTGTTGTGGGTGTGAGTCATCTAACTCTAGCATTTCTTTTGAGCAGTGTTGCAATCTGAGCCATCACTAGCAAGCTTCATAAAATTTGCAAAGAAGGAAAGAGTAACTAGGAAAAAAACCTTCTTGCAGACTGTGAGTGAATGGTTTTAGGAGAGTGTGACAATGATTGTTTGTGGGTTTGCTGAGGAACACGTCAGTTTAGGAGTCTGCAGCTTAGATTGCTAGTTCCAGCTTCAGCAAAATTAATGTAAGTGTGCACCTTCACTAGATGGATTACATGAATACAGTGGTACTCATTCAAGACTGATTTTTTGCATGGCCATTAATGACACCATTGTTTTAAGATAGCTTTTGCTGCAATGCAGTGTAACAGCTGCCTGCAGGTGATGTTTTATCCAAACAGTACTACTGTTCTCAAAATACCTAACTTCTACTGACCTCAAAGGAACAGATCCTTGTTCCACAGCTTGAGAAATGTGGACAAGACATCAGGAACATAAAATTGCCAACAAAAAAAAAAAAAAAGGCAGCTACTGAGATCAAAACCAGCTAAATAGCTGATGCTGCTGGACCTCATCCATGGAGCACTCACAATAGACAGCTACTACAGAGAGCAAAGCACATTGACACTGAGTTATTATTTCAGCCAAAGATTACTCAGTGTGTAAAAGCCTGTTTTTTTTCCACAGTGCTGTAATTCTAATTGATTTCCCAGTCATTTTGATTGACATCTGAAAACTGCAAATACGAGGGTTTCTAAGTAATGATTTTGTCTCAGCATTACAGAGTCTTTGATTAACTCACTTGTCATCATCAATCATACAAACAATGAGAGGATGAACCATTGGAATTGCCCAAAAGACTAACAAGAGGCACAGAAAAATCTATTAGCTCAGTGAATGCACACTCCAATATGAGTTATTTCTGTTACGAAGACACACAAGAGAGTACAGAGAAGGCAGCATCAAACACACTGAATATTTCATGTCACCGAATCAGGAGTAAAGAAAAAATAAAATGTAACAAAATAAACAGGAACACAACACTCCTTTAGAAGGTTCTCTAATAGCAGCAGTGTACAAGTCCCCAAAATTGAACTGGCAGAGTTGCACTTCAGTAATCTCTCCGTAGCTGTGAAAAAGCCAAATGGGATCCACAGACCTTTGTCCCTCAGCAGAGACAATGGAAAGCTCTGCACTAAATCCTGAATGGGAGGTACAGTGATGAGTAAAGCCATTACACGGCTGGACTTAAACAATGGCTTAATCCCTGTCTTCTCACCTAGATGGTTTGTTATGACAGAAAGCTTTGGGAACAAACAACAGAAAAGTTGGCAGTGAACCAGCCGGAGCTTTCAAAAACACAGAGGGCCCTTTCCCTGAATCTAAGTAGCTGTCAGATCTAAATATTTGTATCCTAAGATACTCCTCTCAACAAATGTAAAAAAAAAAAAAATAAAAAAAAAATCTTTAGTTTTCACCACTGGCTCATGAATTCTGGTATAGCAGTATGGTCTGAAAGATGAATGAAAATTAGGTTGTTTCTTAAGCACAAAAGACTGAACAATATAATAACTGATTAGGTGTCAGTTCTGCAGAAATAAAAAATCTGGAGCTTTAGTAGATAACAAGAAGAACACAAGACAAGAGTGTCACGTGCTGTGAAAAATTCTTGTCCTGACAAACAGTGGAGCCTGTGAGAATCTTTCCATTCTATTCAGCCTCAGAAAGGCCTCAGCCAGAGCAGTGCTTCCAGTTTTTGATCACTGCACTTCAAAAAAAGATGTGAAACATCTGGGAGAGTTTAAAGGAGAGCAATGAGAATGGAGAAGAGAGAAGAGGCAGGTAACAATCTTAAAATGTGTAAGAGGCTGCTACAAAAGGATATTCCAATTTCCATGTTCATAGCAGACAGGAAAAATAAACAAGCTTAAATTACACCAATGGTTCAGGAAAAAGTTATTTGAAGAAAAGCTAATGCAGCACTGACAGGGACTGCACAGGCTGAGGAACCTCCCTGAAGGTTCTGAAGGACAAACTAGGCATTTGTCTGCAGCAAATAAAGACACATTGATGGACTGATGGACCACACAACCTCAGGTTCCCTTCAGGCCTATTTTTCCACAATTGGATTGTTATGCAACTGTTATTTTTAGTTGTGTTACTGCGAATGTATCACTACGGCATTAAAACGGGATCACCCAAGCAAGTCCTCCACAAGGCAACAGAATTACAAGGAGATGCAAAAGGCTGTGCTAAACAATGCCCTTCTACAACTTCCTGATGCTTCCGCACAGTTCAAAATTACCTCAGTGCTGCGAGAGCAGACTGGATTATGAAACCTTTGCGCAAGATTCAGATATGTGGGAGGTTTTCCTGCTGACTGCAACTGCCAAAACTGCAGAAAGCGCCATTCTGGCCAAAGCCGCCCGTGCGCGGCAGCTCTCCAGGGTTACGGTGGTGCGCCGTGACCCAGAGCCGTGACATCAAACCGCAGATGGATGGCACAGCACCTCCTCCACTGCATGAGCATTTCACAGCAGCTCCACACTGTCACGGCAGCCCAGGCCTAGGGGACACGAGGTTCAGCACAGCAACGGCATCATGTGCGGTGTCACAGTGACATCACACACAACATCACAGCTGAGTGAGGTCGCCCCACAGTACAGCCACCGCTTGCTGCTCCGAGACACTGACACACCGTCAGAGCCCCTGGCTTACGTCACAGCGTGACGCCACACCTTGGAAGACGTCATGGC